ACTGGTGCCCATTAATTACAGTGGGTCTCCTCTGTCTTGGGATAGGGCCCACAAGCTGGAGAACTCTGCTGAGAATTTACCACCGACTTTCTCTACTGTCTCTTTCGAGTCTGTTTCTGCTCCGAAATGGTCTTGGGCTCCTACGCTCCTTGATTACTGGAGAATGAATAAATACTACTTTGTAAGGTCCTTCTACTGGCCAGAGACACCTCTCTCTGTAGGATGAAATGCTTGTCTTGAAAGGACAGTGGGGGTCACACTATGGGCGTCTCTTCAGGAAAATGGGATTAAGAAGTGGAGAGAGAGCTCCCTTTCAAACAAGCAAAAAACAAACAAAATAGAGGCCAATAATGAATGCTCAAGGGTCTTACCTAATTGAAATAAGTCACTCTCGGGGCAGAGGGTTTTGTCCAACTACTCAAGAGTAGATTCAGGGAAATTCATGTGCCTAAGTGAGCCCTTTCTATTGTTTTCAGTGAATTTATTTTGAGCAGGACAAAGGCTTGACCCAGCCCAGAATTCCAACAGAAATCGTTAATGCTTGAAATAATTTAGGCTGAAATCCTAACCCCACTTGCCTGGGAGCAAGCAGGACTGAATTCAGTGGGACTTACTTCTGAGTAGATATGGTTAGGATTGTGCTACTAATCTATTTTTTAAAAATACATTTATTCCCATGCTCTTTATTTCTCTATCTGCTGTGATTTTTTAACCATGAAAGCAGACATATTTTTTCCATCTATAGTTTGATCTTCAAAGTTCTATAGTAGGGACGTGTCACTGGAGATGGTGAGAGAAAGTTTTGTATATGTGTACAGACTATCCAAATTTTTGTGAACATTCTTGTGTGATCCACACACAAACACACACACACACACACACACACACACACACAGTAATTCCAGATTAATTTAAACAATACTGAATCATAAAATTTCTGTAAGGTTTGTTTTGCATATGAAGAAGTAACAGTGGTCGTATAGGAAAGAAGGAGAATTTAATACAGATGTTGAAAGTGTAAATGAAAGCAGAAGTCCCCGAATATCACCGCATCACAGATTTGGAGTGTGCAGGCAACCCACAATTATGTAGGCAACCTACAATGGAGGAGAAATTTGGCTTGGTTTGTCTCTGAATGCAAAACTGCCCAAGTCTCGCTTCCAGAAACAACATTTGAATTGAAACCACAGCTGTTCTTTGAAAATTTCACTTTGAATTTTGCAAAACAATTCTCCAACAAACAAACGAAACCACTTGCAACCCAAACAACTTTTATAAATGATTGCAGAAATTGTGTGCATGATGGAAAGTGTGCATGAAATACAAAAAATGCATTAAGTTAGCAAAAAGCTCTTGCAAAAATATGTGTGTTGGGCAAATTTTGTGCTAAAGCTGTGATCTTAAATGGAAACAGTATTTTTTTTATTTTGTTTTATGGAACATATACTTGTACGCATTATTTTACATGGTGAACTTCTGATAAAGAATCAAATAACTAAACTGCCTATCAATGTTCATTAGGACTTCTGAACACACAAGGCAAAGTGGAAACTGAAACTGAACTGAACATGGCAAAAATGAGACGCGCAGCAAACCCAAAATTGAGATGAGCATCCATTCCTATACAATAATGCAAGCAGTTTCTGGTCATCCATCTAGGGTGGTGTTGTCATCCTCACAGAGTTCGTGATGGAACAGAAAAACAGGTTGATGGAAAATAGCGATAGATAGAGGGAGGCGGCAAAGAAAGAAAACCGTTTCACAAGAGTAGACCTCCCGCCGTTCCTTTACCGCCCACTGTTGATGCCGATCAAACAGGTTTTAGAAGCGATACTGAAAACCTGCCCAGCCTTTTAGCCACAGGTGGGGAGAAGGATTGGTTCACATGCCCTCGGAGGTGATCCCTCTTTCAAAGCACCTTCAACTGTTTGAAACAATTATTCTCTTTCCTGCAGCTCATTGTTGCTCTTTGTACCTTAGTAAAAAGGCGAGAGAGAGGAGGGGGACTTCATCAGCTAATGTTATAATAGCACCGAGAGAACTTTGCAGCTACATTTTTTTTTTTAGCAGAAAAGAGTGGATTCTTCAGTCCATCTGGGGCAGGAGGACAGCAGAGTTTGAGAAATCTCCTCCCATTCTCCATCGATGGTGCCGATCCCCCGGTCGAAGCAGGGAGGAAGATGGCTTAATCGAGATGTTTTGGCCCGTAAAGTGACAGGGCAGTGTGTAACTATTCCACCCCCAAGCCTTTCCGCTAATCCTTCTGTTTCATTTAAAACCGAGTCGAGTAATCCCAGGAGAAGAGGGCTTATCGCTACCCAAAGAACAAGGCGAGAGGCGATAATCCGGTCTCGTTTGCTTATATTATGATTACCCCTAAATCCTACTTAATGGTTTTCACTTTAAAAAAAAAAAAACTGCATCCCCTCCCACCTCCAGGCACCCCCACGTTCAGCAGTACTTAAAAGAAAAAGAAATCGATTTTGGTGCCCCGTCCTGCTCACTTAAACACCATTGAACTTGACGGAGTGCCTCTGTGCAATTAGTTTGAGATTAAGACTTGCAACCCCATGTACACACACGCTAGGCATCAGCTCTGGCTAAACACAGTGGGGTTTTACTCCAGAGTAAACATATACAGGACCGGCAGGAGCATGGCGCATGTTTTCCTGTGTTTTATATTTGGTTTACCGCTATTTGTGAGAACTCACCGTTCCTTTCCGAAAGTGCCAATCTGGTAACATAGCATAAAACGCTGGAAATTGGAAACACGTAAAAACAGCGCCCCAAATTAGTCCTTGCAGAAACTTGCAATGGCTTCTTTTTTTAAAGGAAGGTCTTGACCTTTGCAAGTAAAGAACTAGAATTATCGATTTGTTGGAAGCGATTAGCAATAAACTGTGGTGCGGAGAACTATGTTAAAAAAAACCAGGCTGCTTTTTTAAAAAAAGCTAGTTATGCACTCTTAAGCCTCCAAAAAATTCTCTGGGGTTGGCTTGGGACTTCTGAGTAATTTTGAAAAGAAAAGAAAAACTAACAAAAACCAAGGTGCAAATTGATAGACACATAAAAATGTTGCCTTCCTTGGTCATTAATAACTTGAAACTTGGTTTGAGTTCTTGTTGGCTTGGAAATTATTGTCATGAAGGGAATTAAGAAATACGTTATGTTAAACTCGGACGCAACAGCATGTTTTCATAACAATCTCCAGACTAGAGCAGTTCTTATGAGAGGCAGAATTGTAAAAAAAAAGCTCTAAATCTCTGTGAATATCACCTTGTCACTTAAATTTGTAGTATTTCTTTTCCAGCCAAAACCGCCTTTTTCTGGTCTTACTGTAGGACATAGAGGATGAAAGGGAATTGAGGAGCTAAAGAGAACTTTAAGAAAGAAAACAAATAATAGGAAAGGAATAAACAGTGCAGGGAGACACATTTTGATAATTTGGGTTACTAATTAATAATTAGTAGTGAGTCTAGAATGAGGACTTGGTCGTGTGTTTCTCAAAACCTCCAAAGGGAAGGAACAGCCTTGAAACCAAAAGGAAATGTGTTTGCAGAAAACTGCAAATCTTGTTAGTCATACAGCTGCTTGTGCGCAAACATTCGGGATTTGGGTAGCATTCCTCAGGAACGGAACACAGTGCCCTGTCTTCCCAGAGCATGATGAAATTTTGATATACCAAATGTTTTAATTAGACAACCATAATTATTGAAAGCAAAGGTGGGGGCACTGGGCAGCTACCAAAGTTTTTAGATATGTAAAATGCTTTCAAAAGCAGAAAACAAAATTTAGTGTGGGGGGGAACCAGTGAAAAACATTACTAGAAAACCAATTTTATTCTATATTACACATTTATTGTATTAATCAACTCAACCAGAGATTTTAACATGTTAGCTTTGCAATTCGATCTTTATTGCAACTGTTCCCATTGGAAAATTCTTCATCATCATCATTTTTAATTTGTATACCGTCTTTCTATCTTACAATACTCAAGGCTGAAGAAACAAAAAATGTACATCTTATAACAATCTAATGCAATACAAAAATGTGATGATAAAACAAAACTTTAAAATAAGCAACCTACATCAAAAAAGTAACATTCAACTATTATTAGAATAGTATAAAATAATACTATCAACATATAAAAGTTAAACAGAAATCCACTCAACAGTTACAATAAATAGTTTCTAAACTATCATCAATAAAACAACGGCTAGCCACAGTACATAAAATAATACAATACAAATTCAGAATATCAGAGGTGCTGCAGTCTATCTTTGGACAACTCTCAGTTTTGGATAAAGGTCTGTAGATTCTTTGCTTTCTATCATCTACAATGTTCAGTCGGGAGAAAAGTAAACCACTTTCTCTCTTGCCCCTGTGTTATCCGATTACTTCTGCTAAGAGCAAGACCACTCCTCTGATTTTTTATTTATTTATTTTTACTTTTATGAAAGAACGAATGTTTTAAAAAGGTTTGTGTGCCCAAGCCCAAACTCTTGACGCTGAAATTCGGCACTTGAAAATTAACATTTAAATAACCATCGCTGGAAGGTTTTGGAGTCCAAATTGTCCGTTTGGGGATTGAATTTCACCTTTGTGGGGAGAAGAATCTGAGTCCGTAGCAAGCGTGTTGTGGCTTCCTGGAGTCCCACTGAAATCAATAGGGTTAAGTGAGGCATACTTAACTTGCCCCATTGATTCCAATGGGAAGCATTGAAACTAACCTTCTCTGCTGTGTATGTGTGTGCGAAGATATTATTAAGGAAAGGGCCACACAGCTTGCTGTTAGAGCACCTGTTTTTTGTGCAGAACGTTCCTGATTCGATCCCCAGAATCTGCAGGCAGGGCTGAGAATGTCCCAACTGAAACCCCAGAAAGATGCTACCAGTTGTGGTGGATAATATTAGGCCAGTGGTCTGACTGGGAATAAGGCATCTCCCTGGGTTTATATTTAAACCAGTGCTTTATTCAGAGCCCCAAAGAGCAGAATCATGCTTCATTTGTAGGAGAAAGGCAGTCGAACACAGTGGGTAGGCATCTCTGCTTTACATGCCCCGGAGAGATGCTGCCAGCCCGTGTAGGCAGCACTGAGCCGGAAGGGCCAGGGGTCTGATCCAGTAAAACGCAGCTTCCTTTGTACCTGTGCGGCAACATCAGCCCTCTTTAACTCGGTGCTTCCCCGACGTTTTGGATTCCAACTCCTGTAAGTTGGGAGACAGGCAAGGTGTAAATCAGGGGTCAGCGAACTTTTTCAGCAGGGGGCCGTTCCACTGTCCCTCAGACCTTGTGGGGGGCCGGACTATATGGGGGGAGAATGAACGAATTCCTATGCCCCACAAATAACCCAGAGATGCATTTTAAATAAAAGCACACATTCTACTCATGTGAAAACATGCTGATTCCCAGACCGTCCGCGGGCCGGATTGAGAAGGCGATTGGGCCAGATCCGGCCCCCGGGCCTTAGTTTGCCTACCCATGGTGTAAATGAATAAATAACAGGATGTGCTAATCATCGTCATCCCCGGCTGTTGGCTAACTTGGCCGGGGCTGAGAGGAGCTGTCATCCGGCACTTATTCTGCAGGGCATACCAGGTTGAGGAAGACGGCAGAACATCAATTACTGAAGCTGACCTCTCCGTTTCCAGATTGGTGGACTCGGTGAGGAATTCGGCATTGAGCTATGATGAAACGTCGTGTCAGTGCGAGAATTTCTGCTTGCCAGTCGAAAAGGCCCCTCCTTCCTCTGCCCACACTGTTCCAGTTTTCTTTCTTTCTTTCTTTCTTTCTTTCTTTCTTTCTTTCTTCTTCTTCTTCTTCTTCTTCTTCTTCTTCTTCTTCTTCTTCTTCTCTAAAAAAACCTTTATTATACAACAGTTTACACATGGGTAGGCAAACCAAGGCCCGGGGGCCAGATCCGGCCCAATCACCTTCTAAATCCAACCCACAAATGGTCCGGGAATCAGCATGTTTTTACATGAGTAGAATGTGTGCTTTTATTTAAAATGCATCTCTGGGTTATTTGTGGGGCATAGGAATTTGTTCTTCTTCTTTTCCCCCCCAAAATATAGTCCGGCCCCCCACAAGGTCTGAGGGACAGTGGACCGGCCCCTTGCTGAGAAAGTTTGCTGATCCCTGAATTTACATATGACATCGACGACACATAACTACATAAACAACATGGACACTAACTAGCAATATATATATATATATACACTTCTGATCCATCTCATTATGCTTTTTTACAGTTTGTAGATTTATATGCACTTTATTATTATTTAACTTTCCCATTATTTATCAACACAAATTTTATTTTATAATTTCTTTATATTTCAGTTTGCGCTATCACAATAATCACCTTTCCAATTCTTTTGCTATTAAAATCCTGGCCACTGTGGTTGCATACATAAAAAGGGTTCTGTGGGGTTTTTTAAAATTTCTGTGGACATAATACCTAACAGAAAGGCTTCAGGGTTCTTTTTTTAAAATGAGAGTTTAAATATCTTTTTAAGTTCATTATATTTAAAGGTAATAGGTAAAGGGACCCCTGACAATTAAGTGCAGTCACGAACGACTCTGGGGTTGCTGCGCTCATCTTGCTTTACTGGCCAAGGGAGCCGACGTTTGTCCACAAGTTTTTCCGGGTCATGTGGCGAGCATGGCTAAGCCGCTTCTGGCGATACCAGAACAGCGCACAGAAACGCCATTTACCTTCCCACCGGAGTGGTACCTATTTCATAGAATCATAGAATCATAGAATCATAGAGCTGGAAGAGACCACAAGGGCCATCGAGTCCAACCCCCTGCCAAGCAGGAAACACCATCAGAGCACTCCTGACATATGGTTGTCAAGCCTCTGCTTAAAGACCTCCAAAGAAGGAGACTCCACCACACTCCTTGGCAGCAAATTCCACTGTCGAACAGCTCTTACTGTCAGGAAGTTCTTTCTAATGTTTAGGTGGAATCTTCTTTCTTGTAGTTTGGATCCATTGCTCCGTGTCCGCTTCTCTGGAGCAGCAGAAAACAACCTTTCTCCCTCCTCTATGTGACATCCTTTTATATATTTTATATATTTATCTACTTGCGCTGCGTGCTTTCGAACTGCTGGGTTAGCAGGAGCTGGGACCGAGCAATGGGAGCTAACCCCATCGCGGGATTCGAACCGCCGACCTTCCGATTGGCCAAGCCCAAGAGGCTCAGTGGTTTAACCCACAGCGCCACCCACATCCCTCATGATATACAGTGTCCCAAAATTATCTTATCTCCTTACAGTCCCACCAGATGTGCACAAAGGTAGGAACAGAGTCAATGTTTTCATGGGTGCACAGTGTGGGAAGAGGGGCTGGACGCCCCATTGCACAAGCAGAAATCCCCGCGCTTAAAGGATTCACGAGCTGAATTTTGTCCCTCGGTTGGGACAACACGGCCCAGCCGAAATATAGTTCGCGTTGAAAGCAAAGGTCCCCGTGACTCATTCTCTTCCCCTTCCCTCAAGGTAAAGTTAGAGAAATTTTACACTTTGATGCCCTCCCACTCAGCATGCGAGTTCCCGTTCCTCCACTTGTTCAACAGCCATGACAGGGAACCTCACATTAACACCTCTTGCTTTTCTGATGTTCACACATTACATTCAGATGAATTTACACCCCGTGCCCCTGTCTGCAGAATGTCTGGGTGTGCACCCTAGCTAAGCCGTACAAACCAACAAACGTGCACACTTTCACACAAACACTTGTACCCGTGTTTACGTAAACGTGTGAACTAGCCTCCGATGAGAGAAGGTGTAGGAAGGGCAAATCTCCATGTTTTCTTTTTTATTATTTTACTTATTAATTTATTTGCTCGGTTTATATTCCGCCCTTTATCCAAAGATCCCAAGGTGGTGTATACCATATTTTTCGCTCAGTAAGATGCACTTTTTCCCTCCTAAAAAGTAAGGGGAAATGTGTGTGCGTCTTATGGAGCGAATGCAGGCTGCGCAGCTATCGCTGAAGCTAGAACAGCAAGAGGGATCACTGCTTTCGCTGTGCAGCGATCCCTCTTGCTGTTCTGGCTTCTGGGATTCAGAATATTTTTTTTCTTGTTTTCCTCCTCCAAAAACTCGGTGCGTCTTATGGTCTCTTGCATCTTATAGAACGAAAAATACGGTAACATTAAGGACACGGAGCATCAATAATAATAATAATAATAAAATAAAATGTGCTATCATTGCCCCCCAAAATAGTGGGAGGGATAAAGCCTGATGGGACAGCTACCGTAGCCAAAGAAAAAGGTAAAAATTTTGAGCAAAAGTTCGAGATAAAGGAGTGAGTGCCTCAGCATGTTTTGGGGTGAGGGTTAACCCAGGATCATACATCCCAAATTACCCATCATGTTTCCTTCCCATAGCTGGCAAATTAAGACTGATTCGGATGCTTAATTCTCACATCGTGATTGCCAGTTCCATTCCACGTTGAGAAACCGTGACTGAAGAACTGTTGCTTCACGAGAGTGACTGTGAGCATTTACCGCAGAATCGTAGGATGGTAGATTGGGAAGGGACACCGCGGGTCAACTAGGCCCTCAAGAATCCCCAAAAGATGGCCATCCAAGCTCTGCTTTGAAACCTCCCAGGAAGGAGAGTCCCCTCCCCACATAATAATAATAATAATAATAATATAAATAAATAAACCATGGACACTCAATGCATCTACCCTCCAACGTTTCTCCAGTGAAAATAGGGACGTCCAATTCCATTATGATAATGTTCTTATTTATACCCCACACATCTTAATGCGTTGCCCCAGCCACCCTGGACAGCTTCCAACATGTATAAAAACATAAGAAAACATTAAACATTAAAAAAGAACACCTTCGCAGTACAGGATTGCCTTCAGACGGCTCGGGCGTCAGAAAACTCCATACCCTTCAACATTTTCCCAGTGAAAATAGGGACATATCCTCCAACATATCTCCAATGAAAATAGGGGCATTCTAAGGAAAAGCAGGAAATTCTGGGATCAAATTGGGACGGCTTCTCTAAATCTGGGATGTCCCTGGAAAAGAGGGACACTTGGAGGGTCTGCGTCTATTTTGAGTACAGTGGTACCTCAGGTTACAGACGCTTCAGGGTACAGATGCTTCAGGTTACAGACTCCGCTAACCCAGAAATAGTACCTCGGGTTAAGAACTTTGCTTCAGGATGAGAACAGAAATCGTGCGGCAGCAGCGGGAGGCCTCATTAGCTAAAGTGGTACCTAAGGTTAAGAACAGTTTCAGGTTAAGAACGGACCTCTGGAACGAATTAAGTTCTTAACCCGAGGTACCACTATATAACCTCACTGGTTATTTTTAACTAATCGTTTGAAAACACAGGCCCATAACAGCACGGGATAACTTGAGTGTTAGTTGAGATTCCATAGCCTGCAGAGATAGATAGATGATAGAGATAGATAGATAGATAGATAGATAGATAGATAGATGATATGAGAGAATTTGCAGTGACATGAGAAGAGGAATAGAAAGAGGGAGGAGGAGGAGATTTTAAAGCATCATCTCCTCTAGGCCTCTGGTGGTCGAAACAGTGGGGTGGATGTGTTTATATATGAGTTCCCCATTAATGTCCATTGCTCAAGAATTTCTACAGTAATTTGCTTATTTCTCCCTCCCTCCCACCCCTCCACCACCACCTATTTTATGAACCCCCCCTCCCATTCTCCCCTCAATTGCTTTTAAGCCATCAATTCACTAGCGGGGAGGGGGAATCTGGGGTGGGGTTTTTTCCCACCCCCCAGAAGAAAAGCAAAGCAAAACACACATACACACACACACAAAAAGAGAGAGTGGAAATAATGAAACTACCACACAGGCCCTCCTCCTCCTCCTCCTCCTCCTCCTCTTTTTCTGCTTCGCTGTGTGAATCAACTAACTTTGTTTTCCACCAAAGGCTTTATCCTTAATAGCCTCGCCCCCTCCCCCCCCCCTTGCCGGCGTTTGAGCATAAGTGAGGCATGAGGGAGCCTTTGGAATAATGAGGTGTAATTAGCCCTGGCAGCTTTTATCTTCAAAACTCCCTGTTCAATTAGATTGAAATAAAACGAAAGAGGGGGCATTAAAAGAGAGAGAGAGAGAGGGAGAGAGTATGTGTGTGTTTCGGGTAAGTGGCGATGGGGTAGGAGTACAGGGGGAAGGAATTTGGGTGTGTTTTTTCATTTGCTCTGTCAATTATGGTTTCTCTCGTTCTCTCTCCTCCCCCCCCCCCCAAATCCCAGATCTTCGGTTTGCTCCATTATCACAGCAGTTTTTTGCAGAAGAAAAATCCACACATAGATTTGCACAGTTTCCCCCTGATCTTTGTACGCAGTTTTGCCCCTGTATGTGTTTTTAACGTTATATGGATCATATATGCTGGTTTTTTAAATTGCATTCTGCAACTCTGCATTACCTTCCCCCTTCCCTTGTTACCTGTTGTTGTTTTTCTGTGTCAACACGTTTTTGTATGCAACAGTAAAATTCAATAAAAGGGTGTATGTATGTGTATATATATATATATATATATATATATATATATACACACACACACACACACACACACACGTGTGTGTGTGTGTGTGTGTGTATGCAGTTGTGTTATAAAAAGCAATTGCTCAGGATGTGGCTTTGGTTAGATTGTGAAGTCACTTTGAGATGCTTTATAGTGATTCAAGAAGAAGAAGAAGAAGAAGAAGAAGAAGAAGAAGAAGAAGAAGAAGAAAACAATAATAATAATTATTTATTTATACCCCGCCCATCTGGCTGGGTTTCCCCAGCCACTCTGGGTGGCTTCCAATAGAACGCTAAAATACAATAACCTATTAAACATTAAAAGCTTCCCTAAACAGAAGAAGAGGAAGAAGAAGAAGAAGAAGAAGAAGAAGAAGAAGAAGAAGAATTAGCCAGCAATTTCCCTCATAAAACAGCTGTTTTTCATACAAATTATTGGGTTGGAGAACTTCATTGAAAAGTCCGCAGAAGCAGGGATTGCAATGCTTTGTTTAAAACTAGAGAACCTTAGATGCTCCTCGTATCGAAATCCAGAGGACTGGAGAATCCCAAAGAAACAAATTTCATTCAGAGAAAAATCCAAAGGGAAAAAGCAGAGGATAACCTAGAGTTTGAACAATCTGGAATTTTTTGCACTCCTTATATTGACATCCAGAGAACTGAAAATCAATGTGAGAGTTTTGAAAATCCAGAGCATTGGAGCGTTTTTGACACTCTTTGTGTTGGTTTTGTCACTTTTCATTAAAATGGAACCCAAACTAATTTATCCCTCATCCCTAGATGGGAGACCGTTGTTGCAGCTGGGTAGATGATACTTCTCTCCAGCACACATCTGTTCGGCATTTGAGCTCTGGTGGCGAATGTTCATCTCTTGTTGTTGTTTAGTCGTTTAGTCGTGTCCGATTCTTCGTGACCCCCTGGACCAGAGCACACCAGGCACTCCTGTCTTCCACTGCCTCCGGCAGTTTGGTCAAACTCATGTTTGTAGCTTTGAAAACACTGTCCAACCATCTCGTCCTCTGTTGTCCCCTTCTCCTTGTGCCCTCCATCTTTCCCAGGGTCTTTTCGAGGGAGTCTTCTCTTCTCATCAGGGGGCCAAAGTCTTGGAGCCTCAGCTTCAGGATCTGTCCTTCCAGTGAGCGCTCAGGGCTGTTTTCCTTCAGAATGGAGAGGTTTGATCTTCTTGCAGTCCATGGGACTCTCAAGAGTCTCCTCCAGCACCAGAATTCAAAAGCATCAATTCTTCGGCAATCAGCCTTTTTTATCGTCTCTAGCGAATTTTAAAAGCTGGGTTGTGGTGGCTGTGGAGCAGGGGCACCCAAAGTCTATCTCCTTCAACACTTGGATCTCCCAGCCCCATGGAAAGGTCAGAGCTGGTCTTAGCAGGATGCAAAGTGCTGCAGGTTCTTTGGGTGGCAGGTGGCAATTTGACTGACATATTTTATATACATCCATATGGCATTTTTCCAGACCAGGGAAGGTACGCGTATCACATCAAAAGGTTGTGGCTTCTCCTTCGTTGCAGCTTTTTAAACAGAGGTTAGATTTGTCAGGGGTTCTTTGGTTGTGATTCCTAAACCAGGCATCCCCAAACACACGATGTTTTGGGACCACAGTTCTCATCATCCCTGACCACTGGTCCTGTTAGCTAGGGATCATGGGAGTTGTAGTCCCGAAAACATCTGGAAGGCTGAGTTTGGGGATGCCTGGACTAGATGAACCTTGGGGTCCCGTCCAACTCTACAATTCCATGAATTAGTTAGTAGATTGTATTTTATTGTCAGCTGTAAAGTAAACCTGCCCACCCCCATCCCCCACCCCCGTGGAATATAAATATGCAAATAACTAAACTAAACTAAACTAAACCAAACCCCTAAGGGACCAGTCTGGATAGTTGGCCTTGGTGAAGATTTGACGTTTTCATCCCCCAAAAGTTTTTGATTTGAGTTTCTACTGAAATGAGGCTGCATTTTAATGTTGTATTTTAATCTTGTTTTTAAGTTGTATTTTAATCAATTGTTTTATACCTGGTGTTAGCTGCCCTGAGCCCAGTCCTGGCTGGGGAGGGCGGGGTATAAATAGTTGGTGTTGACCTTTAAGGCCCTAAACGGTCTTGGGCCAGTATCTCTGAAGGAGCATCTCCACCCCCATCGTTCTGCCCGGACACTGAGGTCCAGCGCCGAGGGCCTTCTGGCAGTTCCCTCATTGCGAGAAGCAAAGCTACAGGGAACCAGGCAGAGGGCCTTCTCGGTAGTGGCGCCTGCCCTGTGGAACGCCCTCCCATCAGATGTCAAAGAGATAAACAACTACCTGACATTCAGAAGACATCTTAAGGCAGCCCTGTTCAGGGAAGTTTTTAATATGTGACATCTTAGTGTATTTTTGGTCTTTGTGGAAGCCTCCCAGAGTGGCTGGGGAAACCCAGCCAGATGGGCGGGGTACAAATAAATTATTATTATTATTATTATTATTATTATTGACATCAGAGGGTGACTAAGATATTTTGGTGCCTGAGACAAATTAAAAAACAAACAAACCAAATCGCTTAAATCTTCTGCGTGATCCCCATTGACACAAATCATTAGATGAGGGGTGGGGGCTGCTGTTTAAAGAAATTGGCACACTTTTTAACCCCTGCTATTTTAAAAGCTCTGTTGCAGTCAGCCCCTTGAAGCCTGTAGTAGTCAAGAACACACACACAACATTAATTTCCTTAATTTCCAAGTTCTACCTCTGCACAGGAATATTATCCCCTGCCCCCTCAACCCAACCTCTCTTGTGTATTCCCAGCTGACCTTCGATCTCTTTTTATTCATGACCCTGATCTTGAGGGATGACAACTTGATGGATGGCGCGAAGGCCAATGATGTACAACATCCTTCAATATTAAGGCAGCAGAGAAGGGCAGGACCCCGTGGCGTAGAGAAGCAAGAGGTCAGGGGGCTGAAGGGGGCGGGCTGGGTGGGTGGAGAGACCTGGCGGATTTGCAAAGGAGGGCGGCAGAATAGGGCAGGCGAGGGATTTGTCAGCCTTTCGCTGGGAAGGGTGAGTTGGGCGGGCGCTGAGCACGTACGGAATGATTTATACTGGGTTGCTGCAATTAAATTGACCTTTGCTGATGATAACCAACAAGACCTACTAGTGTGTGCATTTGTGTCTGTGTATGAGGAGGGGGTGACTTTTCTGCAATAGCAGGCAAGTACAACATGCTTGCTCACCTCTTAAGAGTCCCAAGCAGCGAAGAGGTACTTAGCTTAGAGGCTGTAATCCTGTGCACCACCAAAATCAAGCCTGCTGCGAATAATAATAATAATAATAATAATAATAATAATAATAAAATTTATTATTTATACCCCGCCCATCTGGCTGGGCTTCCCCAGCCACTCTGGGCGGCTTCCAACCAAATATTAAAATACAGTAATACATCAAACATTAAAAGCTTCCCTAAACAGGGCTGCCTTCAGATGTCTTCTAAAAGTTTGGTAGTTGTTTTTCTCTTTGACATCTGGTGGGAGGGTGTTCCACAGGACGGGCGCCACTACCGAGAAGGCCTTCTGCCTGGTTCCCTGTAACTTGGCTTCTCACAGGGAGGGAACCACCAGAAGGCCCTTGGCGCTGGACCTCAGTGACCGAGTAGAACGATGGGGTGGAGACACTCCTTCAGATATACTGGACCGATGCCATTTAGGGCTTTAAAGGTCAGCACCAACACTTTGAATTGCGCTCGGAAACGTACTGGGAGCCAATGTTTTCAAGACCGGTGTTATGTGGTCTCAGTGACTGCCCCCAGTCACCAGTCTAGCTGCCACATTCTGGATTAGTTGTAGTTTCCGGATCACCTTCAAAGGTAGCCCCACGTAGAGCGCATTGCAGTAGTCCAAGCAGGAGATAACTAGAGCATGCACCACTCTGGCAAGACAGTCCGTGGGTAGGTAGGGTCTCATCCTGCGTACCAGGTGGAGCTGGCCAAACACACATTTTTGCAAAGCCATTTCCCCCAATCTAATGCATCTTATTATCACTAATATATGCACACCTTTCCTTAGTATGTGCATTTTGGTACACATTACTTCACCGGGAAACTGCCTTGTAAGATTCGGAGAAGTGTGAATTTGGAAAGGAGACTTTTGAAAGAATTGGTGTGTTTCAGTTTTTGCATTGTTTCAGAAAGTACAAATTAGGTTAATTCTCCTTTAAAGATGAATGGAATCGACATTCTCCCCCTATTCCTAGCTTGGTGCCAATGATTTGAGCAACAGAATTATTAATATTACACCTTTATGTGCCCATAAGCATGTGTGAAACACGTGTAGGATTGTGTGCCTGGTATTGGAAGAAAGCATTCCCCCTGCATCCTGTTTCACCTTCTCTATCTAAATACAGTGGTACCTTGGGTTAAGTACTTAATTCGTTCCGGAGGTCCGTTCTTAACCTGAAACTGTTCTTAACCTGAAGCACCACTTTAGCTAATGGGGCCTCCTGTTGCCGCTGCGCCACCGGAGCACGATTTCTGTTCTCATCCTGAAGCAAAGTTCTTAACCTGAAGCACTATTTCTGGGTTAGCGGAATCTGTGACCTGAAGCGTATGTAACCCGAGGTACCACTGTACAGCAGGGACAATGAGGAGAGTTTGGTGGAAACTTCAGCTGACAAGTCATCCTGCCTAATCAATACATTCGATCCATTGGTTAAGGTCTGCAAAAGATGGACTCTAAACCTCTGCATGTACTTGAGAGAGATGGTGGTGAGTTTGTATGAAGGGCAGTACACCTATTTTAGTAATAATAATAATAATAATAATAATAATAATAAATAATTGTCCTGCATCAATGGGAATCTTCTGTTTCAGAAGAAATGTTAAAGACATTTGCTAGTGGCATCCATCTATCTCAGCCTCTCTCAACCTGTGGGTCCCCAGATGTTGTTGAACTACAACTCCCATCACCACTAGCTAACAATGCCAGAGCTCAGGGATGATGGGAGTTGTAATCCAACAACATCTGGGGACCCAGAGGTTGAGAACCGCTGATCTATCTCAAGACACAATAGAAGAGTTTGCCACTGGGGATAAAGGCAACATCCTGGATTATAAAATATTTCTATTCTGGGGGTGGGGGAGATGTTGCGCTGTGAACAAGCTCTCCAGGACTCCAGGCAGCAATTTGTTGTTGTTTAGTTGTTTAGTCGTTTCCGACTCTTTGTGACCCCATGGACCAGGGCACGCCAGGCACTCCAGTCTTCCACTTCCTCCCGCAGTTTGGGCAAACTCATGCTGGTAGCTTCGAGAACACTGTCCCACCATCTCGTCCTCTGTCGTCCCCTTCTCCTTGTGCCCTCCGTCTTTCCCAACATCAGGGTCTTTTCCAGGGAGTCTTCTCTTCTCATGAGGTGGCCAAAGTCTTGGAGCCTCAGCCTCAGGATCTGTCCTTCCAGTGAGCACTCAGGGCTGATTTCCTTCAGAATGGACCAGGCAGCAATGCAGAACGAATAAATTAAAACTTTTAACAGAGATCACAGCTATAGGAGTTTTCATTTTGGCTAGGATAGGCAGGTTAAGAAGATACTGCTTGTTCCGGCCAAAGGGGGCCCATCTAACCCAGAATCCTGTTCTCACGATGGCCAGCCAGAAACCTGTGGGGAACCCACAACCCGAACCTGAACACAAGAGCAGACCTCTCCCCTTCTGGAACTCATGTTCAGAAGCATCGCTGCCTAATACTGTGGAGCGTATGCCATCGTGGCTAGTAGCCATCGGCTACAAGCTTTCCAAGGGAAAAAATGGGGTTGCTGGTTTAAATAACGCCATCAACAATATATTCTAAGAGAAAGGGGTAGCTTGTGAGTGTGTGTGCATGCACAAAGAAAAGATGTTAAAAGGAACCTTTTTCTCCCAGGCATCTGATACACACATCAATATCCCCGTCCCAAGCGACGACGCAATTCACACAGGCAAAATGTATTAGCCGCTACGGCTAAGAGCTGGTCAAGTCTGACGAGGACTGCGCCTTTACAGTAACACAAACTGTAGAGCTAGTGTGTCGGCCGTGACCCCGGGGGTTAAAGGTGAAGGGTTTCCCAGGAGTGTCTTTGATGGAGCCATCTCGGATGAGAAAGGGCCCTCTATACAGATGTCCCCATCATTACCATTAGAATGTGTTTCAAAACGCAGACCCCGAAAGCAAGATTTAATGGAATGTAATTAAAACTGCACTGTTTAGATTTCTCTCTCCGCGACACCCCCCCCACCTCCCCTCGTTTGCACACACCCTGCATCTCCAAGCCTCTCACTTTCTCTCTCTCTCTCTCTCTCTCCCCCCCCCCACCCCGCCAGTCCCGTTTAGACCCTTAACCCTCCACATTGCATTGCTCCGTGACTAGCGTTACGGAGAGGTATCTCCCCCCTTCCCCAATTCTCTGTCCCCATATTGAATTCCCCTTTTTAAAAAAAGAAAGGAAGGAAGGGGGAAGAAGAGGGAATATTGTGCGAGCACCTTTGCTTTTCAGAACCGACAAGATCTGGGGTACAGGAGGGCAGGGAAGCCCTCTTCTCTTTCTGAAATGTACTCCGCACCAATGGATAAGGCGCTGAAGTATAGACTCTTTAGGAATAGGTTGCAAACTTTGGGTGTGTGTTGTTGTTTTTCAGTTTAGAGGAAAGACGAGTAGGAGGCAACCTGATAGAAGTTCATATAATTATGCATCGCATCGGGAAAGCAAACAAAGTTTCCTTTCCTTTCTCGTAATGTGAGCCTGCGGGGCTCCCATGAAGCTGAATGTTGGAAGGTTTGGGACAGAGAAAAGAGAATGCTTCTTTGCTCAAAGCGTGCTTATATACTATCACCCGGTGCTCTACCAGCTGCACTGGCTCCCAGTGGAGTACAGGATCAGGTTTAAGGTGCTGGTTTTAACCTTTAAAGCCCTATACGGCCTAGGACCCTCATACCTATGGGACCGCCTCTCCTGGTATGTCCCACAGAGGAACTTACGATCTTCAAACAAAAACATCTTGGAGGTCCCAGGCCACAGAGAGGTTAGGCTGGCCTCAACCAGAGCCAGGGCTTTTTCGGCTGTGGCTCTGATCTGGTGGAACACTCTGCCACAAGAGACTAGGGCCCTGCAGGACTTGACATCTTTCCGCAGGGCCTGCAAGACAGAGCTGTTCCACCAAGCCTTTGGCCAGGGCACAGCCTGACTCCCTCCTTTGGCAATATTCACAGAACTCTAACCCAATGGTTGCCATCAATTTGATTTGAATTAATTTTATAATGAAATGATTTTAGAATGTTGTATTATTTTATTGTTGTTAGCCGCCCTGAGCCCGGCTTCGGCTGGGGAGGGTGGGATATAAATAAAAATTTATTATTATTATGAAATTTGCTCCCTCGGGAGGCAGTGATGGCTACAAACCTACGGTGGGTAAGGCTGCTAATGGCTACTAGCCACAATGGCTATGCTCTTGCTTTCACAGTTGGAGACCCTAATGTTTCTGAATACCAGTTACTGGAAGCCTGAGGATGAGAGACTGCTCTGATGCTTGAATCCTGCTTGCTGGCTTCTCACATGCATCTGGTTGGCCACTGTAAGAACAGGATGCTGTGCTAGATAGCCCCCCGGCCTAATCCACCAAGCTCTTCTTAGGTTCTTATGTTCTTAGGGTGTGGTCCAGGCAAGCGGCTTCAGAATTGTCTACTCAACTCCCATTGTGATGTGTGATGGTGAAGTCATCGGTATGGGTTTGAAGGTGAGGGTGCCACCCCTCTGAGCCCATAAGAAAAAATCCCAACTGCCCAGCTATAGGCAAGGGAGAAGATGCCATCACCCCGAGAAAAAATCTAAGTCCTGGTCAGCCAACTTTTTGGTCTTGAAGAGAGGGGGGAAGGCAAAGCAAGATAGACACAGAGAGAGAGAGAGGCCAGCAAAACTCTCATGGGATCATCTATCCCCTCCCATTTCTTGGTCAACCTCAACCAAAAAGGAGCCTGACATAAACAACCATGCCTAAGCAGAATGCCCTGGCTATAGGGATTGACCTCGGCACCACCTACTCCTGTGTGGCTGTCTGCCAGCACGACAAAGTGGAGATTATCGCCAACGACCAAGGGAACCGCACAACACCCAGCTATGTGGCCTTCACCAGCAGCGAACACCTGGTTGGGGACCCAGCGAAGAGCCAGGCCTCTCTCAACCCCCAGAACACAGTGTTCGACGCCAAGCGGTTGATTGGCAGGAAATATGAGGACGCCACAGTCCAGGAGGACATCAAGCACTGGCCTTTCACCGTGGTCAACCACGAGGGCAAGCTCAAGGTCCAGGTGTCCCACAAGGGGAAGCAGCGGACCTTCTACCCTGAGGAGATCTCAGCCATGGTGTTGGTCAAGATGAAGCAGACAGCCGAGGCCTACCTAGGTTGTTCCATCTCCCAAGCCATTGTCACAGTGCCGGCCTACTTCAACGATGCCCAGCGGCAGGCCACCATTGACGCCGGGGCCATCGCCGGCCTCCAGATCCTGAAGATTATCAATGAGCCCACGGCCGCCGCTATCGCCTATGGCCTCGATGTGAGGAACCAGGAGGCAGGTTGCCGGAACATCCTCATTTTCGACCTGGGCGGGGGCACCTTTGACATCTCCATCCTCTCTGCTGAGGACGGCATCTTTGAGGTGAAAGCCACGTCGGGGGACACTCATTTGGGCGGTGAGGACTTCGACAAGAGGTTGGTGGGCTACCTTGCGGAGGAGTTCCGGAAGAAGTACAAGAAGGATGTCCGCCAGGACAAAAAGGCCATGCAGAGGTTGAAAATTGCGGCCGAACGTGCCAAGTGCACACTGAGTTCCTGCAGCAATGCCAGCGTCTCCATCGACTCCCTCTACCAAGGGATCGACTTCCACACGGCCATCACGAGGGCACGTTTCGAGGACCTGTGTTCTGACCTCTTCCGGGCCACCCTGAAGCCCTTGGAGAGGGCTCTGAAAGACGCCAAGATGAGCAAGGGCGACATCAAGGACATCGTGTTGGTCGGGGGCTCCACCCGCATCCCCAAGATCCAGAAGATGCTGAAGGACTTCTTCAACGGGAAGGAACTATGCAAGGGCATCAACCCCGATGAAGCAGTGGCTTACGGAGCAGCCATCCAGGCCGCTGTCTTAACAGGCAACCGGACCCCGAAGATGCAGAATGTGTTCCTCCTGGATGTCACCCCTTTGTCTCTGGGGATCAACACCCAAGGCGGGGTCATGGCGACGATCATCAAGCGCAACTCGCCTGTCCCCACGAAGGAAACGATGGAGTTTACCACCACGGAGGACGACCAAGACACCATCTTCTTCATGGTGTACGAAGGGGAGAGAGCCCTGACCAAGCACAACCACCTCTTGGGCACGTTCACCTTGAAAGGCATCCCTCCAGCCCCCTGCGGGGTCCCCGTCATCGTCGTCACCTTCTCCATCGACGAGAACAACATCCTGACCGTCTCCGCCAAGGATGTGGAGACGGGGAACACCAGCCACCTCACCATCTCGGACACTCAGGGCCGTCTTGGCAAAGAGGAGATCGAGAAGATCATTCAGACGGCGGAAGAGTTCAGGGTGAGCGACGTTTCCCAGAAGGAGAAGATTGAGGCCATGAACTCCTTGGAGTCCTGCACCCTCGAACTGAAGAGGGTGGCTGAGGAGCAGGTGCTGGATGTGAAGGCCAAGAGGAGGATGTTGGAGATGTGCAACAGCACCACCTCCTGGCTTGAGGGCAACCCTTTGGCCGAGAAGGTGGAGTGTGAGCAGCGTCAGAAGGACCTGGAAGAAGCGTGGGATTCGATCTGCACCTCCCTCACCCAGAGCGAGAGAACAGGAGGGACATCTGGGGAGGACCAGAACGTGGCAGTGGAGAAGAATAATGAGGACCCCAGTGATGGGATGGAATGAAATCGCCGAAACTGCCAGAGGGCATTGTTCCACCTAGAGGGCACATTAAAAAAAAAATAAGGGTTGAAAGGAAAGGAAGGGAAGTTGTCCTGCCTCTTTGATGCATGCATCCAGGGTTTGCTTTATTTTTGTATCCCACTTTGCTTATTAAAACAAAGGGGAAAAGTACAGTGGAACTTTGGTTCTCGAACGGCTTAGCTGATGAACGTCGAAAACCCAGAAGTAAGTGTTCCAGTTTTCAAATTTTTTTTGGAAGCTGAACGTCCAATGCGGTTGTCGGCTATTGTTTCCGGGGCGCCTGCCCCAATCGGAAGCTGCTCCTTGGTTTCCGAATGTTTCGGGAGTCGAACGGGCTTCCGAAACAGATTTAAGTTTGAGAACCAAGGTTCCACTGTATCCAAAGCAGAATTTGAACAAAAGATGGGGGGGAGGTCCATAGTTCAGTTGCTAGAGCACCCGTATTGCATGCAATAGGTCCCAAGTGGCTTCTGCTGGAAGTGCTCAGAACATCTCCAGTTTGAAACCCTAAACAGCTGCTGCCAGTCAGTGTAGGCAGTTCTGAGCTAGATGGATATAAGAAGTAGTCTTATACTAAGGTCAGTTCTATATTCAGAACCATAAGGTGGTCAGGGAGTGCTCTTGTGCTTCACTCCTGCTTATCGGTTCCCCTGGAAGTGTCACGGTCCGGTCTACGGGTGATCGAAGTCCCGGCTGAGGACATCAGGACTGGGGGCAAGATGGCGGGGTGGGAGCAGGCACGAGAGTCCAGAAGCCAGGCGTCCAAGGGTCAGGAAGCAGGGAGGCACAAAGTCTAGGGTTTGAGGGTCGAGAAGCAAGGAGTCACAAAGTCAAGGGTCTGAGGGTCAAGAAGCAATGGAGTCAAGAAGCCAAGGTTTGAGGATTAGGAAGCAAGAAGCCAAACATGTTGCTGTGGCAAAGAGCCAAAGGGAAATGCTGACCTTATATCCCTTCCAGCTCTAGCCACCAGGTACAGTGAGTTACCAAGCGGCCTCACCTGTGTGGCTGCACCTTGCTTCTCCAGAACAAACTTAGGAAGGCCCCAGTCCTGCAAAGCTTTACTGGTCACAAGGCCTGGCTCCTGCACACACTCCTGACAGGAAGGGCATCCAGTTGACCATCTGGGTCAGGCCGGTGGTCCATCTAGTCCAGAATCCTGTTCTCACAAGGCTCTTGTTGTGTTCTTAAGTTTCCAGAACGTTAGCAGTGAAGTGTCTCAAGCAGCTTGCCCCAAGGGAGGGAGTTCTAGGGTCTCTGGTGCTTACAACCAACCATGTACTTACCAAAGCCATGCCAGACCTTAGTGGACTGTGTCTCCCTGTCTCCCCGAAGATCTCAATGGGTGGGAGGGCTGAAACTCAGGTTAAGTATGAAGAGGAGATCTGCTGAGGCCCTGAGGCAGAGCTAGTCCCCACAGGGCCTATTGTGACATATGCCATGATGGGCAGACCACCTGTCCTCTTTGGAGAAAATATCAAGGGCAGAGACAGAGGGAATACCTCCCACAGGAGCCAAGAGCTCTCCCCCCCCCCACCCGGCTTCCCCAGGGTTGCCAATTTTCCATCTTTGGCAGAAGGGCTGGGGGCCTGGGGGAAAAGCTTCACCGATGGGAGCAGACCTCAGCCATGAGAAAGTTCAAGACGTCACCAGCAGCAGCAATGCCTCCCCGCCACAGTCTACCCCCAGGGTTAAAACAGCAGCATCCAGAACTCGCCCCAGGGGCCCAGCCGTGGGCATAGACCTGGGCACCACCTACTCCTGCGTGGCAGTCTGCCAGAAAGGAAAGGTGGACGTCCTCGCCAACGACCACGGCAACCACACCACGCCCAGCTGTGTGGCTTTCACTGACAAGGAACGCCTGGTGGGGGAGCCAGCCGAGCTGCTGAGGGGCCTTAACCCAGAGAACACCATCTTTGGTGCCAAGCGGCTCATCGGCCGCAGGTACGAAGACCCTTCAGTGCAGTCTGACCTGAACCACTGGCCTTTCCGGGTAGCTGCTGGCGGTGGCGGCGAAGCCAAAGTCCACGTGTCACACAGAGGGCTGGAGAAGTCCTTCTACCCGGAGGAAATCTCTGCAATGGTGCTGTCCAAGCTGAAGCAGGTGGCGGAGGCCCACCTGGGCCGCCCAGTCACTCAGGCCGTCATCACCGTCCCGGCATACTTCAACGACGCCCAGCGCCAGGCAACGATTGACGCGGGCGCGATTGCAGGGCTCAAGGTCTTGAGGCTGATCAACGAACCCACGGCAGCTGCCATCGCTTATGGCCTGAACGACAGCAGGCAGTGGAAGGAGAAGAGGAACATCCTCGTATTCGACCTGGGCGGGGGAACCTTTGACGTCTCCGTCCTCACTGCCCAGGATGGCGTCTTCGAGGTGGTGGCCACGGCTGGGGACACCCACTTGGGTGGGGAGGATTTTGATCAGCGGCTGGTGGACCAGCTCACCCAGGAGTTCAAGAGGAAACACAAGGAAGACCTCAGCCAGTGCAACAAGGCAAAGCAGAGGCTGAAGGTGGCCTGCGAGAAGGCCAAGCGCGTCCTGAGCTCTAATATCACGGCTATCGTCTCCGTCGACTCCCTCTACAAGGGGGTGGATTTCCACACAACCATCACCAGGGCCAGCTTTGAGGACCTGTGCTCTGACCTCTTCCAGTCCACCATGCTCTATGTGGAGAGGGCACTGGAGGAGGCTGGCATCAAGAAGACCCAGATTGACGACGTTGTGCTCGTCGGGGGTTCCACCCGCATCCCCATGATCCAAAGGCTCCTCTCGCAGTTCTTTGATGGGCAAGACTTGTGTAGGGTCATCAACCCAGATGAGGCGGTGGCCCACGGGGCAGCCATCCAAGCTGCCATCTTGACCGGCCACCGGTACCAAAGCTTGCAGAACCTGCTTCTGTTGGACGTGACTCCTGTCTCCTTGGGGCTGGAGACGGTGGGAGGTGTGATGGACGTCGTGGTCAAGCGCAACTCTCCGATCCCCACCAAGGAAACCAGGAACTTCTCCACCACAGAGGACAACCAAAACAGCCTCTTCTTGCAAGTCTACGAAGGGGAGCGGACGTTGACCAAACACAACCGGCTCCTTGGAACGGTCACACTGGGCGGGCTCCAACCCGCCCCTCGGTGCGTGCCGGTAATCGTGGTCACCTTCCACATCGACCACAACAACATTCTCACCGTGACCGCTACGGAGAGATGCACCGGCAATCAAAACCAGCTGACAATCACAGATACCCGTGGCCGGTTGGACAGAGAGGAGATGGAGCGAATCATCCGTGAGGAGGAAGAGTACTGGGCTCAGGAGAAGGCCGAGCAGGAGAAGAACGAAGCCCTGAACTCTTTGGAGGCCAGCACTCTGCAGCTGAAGAGGGTGGCTGTCGAGGAGAAGGCTCTGGATGACCGGGCGAAGAGGAGGGTCCTGGAGATGTGCGAGGAGACGGCCGCGTGGATGGAGGGCAACCGGAGAGCCCCGAAGAAGGAGTACGAGGAACGGAAGAGGGAACTGGAGGACGTCTGCTATTCCATCATCACGCACTTCAGCTCCGACGGAGGGGATCTGTCGCAGATGAAGGGAAGAGGGAAATGCTAGCTCTGGGCTTAGATCAGGGTAGATGGTGAGGCACATTAAAAGGAGAAGAAAGTGGATGGGTGGGTGGAGATGTTTCTGCTTCTTGGGGGTGTAAAGCGTGTGGTGCTGCAGCATAGTGTTGCAGCATATCCATCACCCTCCGCCCCGCCCCCAACATTCCGGGTCACAAGTTCCGCTAAGGAATCCTTGGAATGTAAGGAGGCCAGTGGCCAGCCCAGTATCCTGTTCTCAAAAGTGGTCAACCAGCTGCCTGTGCAAGCAGAATCTGAACACAAGACCCTCCCCGTTCCTGCAGTTTCCAGCAAGTGGTATTCAGAAGCGATGCTGCCTCCAAGGGGTGTGGTAGAATTGCTTTCAGAAACCCTTAAACTCTCCCCTGTCTCCTGGCGCAGCTTCAATTTCCTATAATTCTTTTGAGGTGCGTGTAGAAGTTCCTGGTCTCATTCGCTCACCTTCACTCCAGACTCTCCATGACATTCAGAATGTGTGGGCAGGTAGGGCTACTCAACAGGCTTGCAGGCTAGAAACTTTGACTCCCTTGGGTTGATTGGGCTGTGGCAGGAGACGAGAGAGAGACAGGGAAAAGGCTTCCCCTCCCCTCCTTTTGCTCTCAAGCTGGCTGTTTTGCCGAGGGGGAAATTGCCCCAACCACAGCCACCGCGCGATCTAATGATATTTAGCAAAGTGATAGTAATGGGCTAATTGCTCGGAAAATGTGAATTAGCCAGGCTGCTGCGGATTGCGTATCAAACGTTATCTTTCAGTGTTTCTCCTTCAAGGCTGCTCTGAAACACATTCTAGGGGCGTAATTTGGGATAAGAGTCCTAGCTCATTGGTAGAGAGTCTTGCTTTGCATGCAGAAGGTCCCTGGTTCAATCCCCGACGACGTCTCCAGGGAGTGTTTGGAGAGATTCCTTTGTCTGAAACGCTGGACAGCCGTCCGTGGTCAGCCAGTGTCAGCACTACTGAGACACATGGACTTGGTATACAGTGGTACCTCTGGTTAAGAACTTAATTCGTTCTGGAGGTCCATTCTTAACCTAAAACTGTTCTTAACCTGAAGCACCACTTTAGCTAATGGGGCGTCCCGCTGCTGCCACGTGATTTCTGTTCTCATCCTGAAGCAAAGTTCTTAACCCAAGGTACTATTTCTGGGTTAGCGGAGTCTGTAACCTGAAGCGTCTGTAACCTGAAGTGTCTTCAACCTGAGGTACCACTGTATAAGGGACGCGGGTGGCGCTGTGGGTTAAACCACAGAGCCTAGGACTTGCCGATCTGAAGGTCAGCGGTTCGAATCTCCGCAACGGGGTGAGCTCCCGTTGCTCGGTCCCTGCTCCTGCCAACCTAGCAGTTCGAAAGCATGCCAAAATGCAAGTAGATAAATAGGTAGCTCTCTGGCGGAAGGTAAATAGCGTTTCCGTGCGCTGCTCTGGTTTGCCAGAAGCGGCTTAGTCATGCTGGCCACATGACCCGGAAGCTGTACGCCGGCCCCCTTGGCCAATAAAGCGAGATGAGCGCCGCAACCCCAGAGTCAGCCACGACTGGACCTAATGGTCAGGGGCCCCTTTACCTTTACCACTGTATAAGGCCTGCTGCTACTTAAATCAGCCCTTTGTTGAGAACAATGAGGACTAGGAAACTCAGCTAGTGCAGAATTCAGCCACCAGGTTGCTCACCGGGGCAAGACAGTTTGAGCATCTTACAGTGATCCTGGCCCGACCGTACTGGCTGACAATTAGTTTCGGGGTACAATTCAAAGTGCTGGTTTTGACTTAGAAACCCTTAAATAGCTCAGGACCGCAATACCTTAAGGACCACCTCTCCCCATATGAGCCAACTCAGACCCTGAGACCCCAGACCCTTCTTCATATGCCCTCTTCCACGAGAGGTCCAGAGGGTGGCAACTCAAGAATGGAGTCTTCTCTGCAGTGGCTCCCCATTTGTGGAATGCTCTCCCCAGGGATACTTACCTGGCGCCTTCGTTATAAACCTTTGGGCACCAGGCAAAAACATTCCTCTTCTTTTTTTTTTTTAATTAATATTTATTAAAGTTTCAGAAAGAATAAAATCACATTAATAAACAAGAAAATTTTAACAAAAACAAAGAAAAATACACCATACAAAATACAAAGTACAAAATAGAAAAAAGTAAAAAAGAAGAAAGAAAAAAATAAAGAACAGTTAAAAATAGTTCTGTCCTTTCATAACCTCTTTTAGATTTACTTGTTTCCCGGACTTCCTCATACCTCCCTCTTTTGTATTCCAATTCAGTTTGTAAGCCCAGCAATTTCTTTCCCTCCTTTTTAATTCCAGTCCTAAATCTTAATATATTATGACATTAGATTTTTACCTATTTGAACCAATTTTTCCATTTCTCTTAGTCTTTTTGGTCCTAATCCTTAATCTTGATATATTTATAACTTTAAAACCTGTTCAGCTAGAAGCCACTTAACTTCAGTCCAACATCACTCTAACATTCATTAATTTTGCAATGTTCAAAAACGTTCCTCTTCAACCAGACCTTGGGCTGATTGACATTCAATGCCCTTTTAAAATGTTTTGGGGAGGGGCGTTATTGTTTGGTTTTGTTTGCGTTATTATTATGCATTGGGTGTTTATAATAATGTATTTTTATGCTATGAACCTCCCTAAGATCTACGGGTATAGAGACAAAATTAATAAATAATAATAAAATCAATAATAATAATACAGTATGTTGGGAGCTGCCCAGAGTGGGCAGTAAAATTATCGTTAAGGAATGGGACGTCCCTATTTTCATCGGATAAATGTTGGAGGCTATGCAACACTTAACAGTTGCTTTCGCAGCTCTGGAAATGTGCGCTCATCAAGCTAGCCTAGCGTCTGGGCAGCTATTTCCAGGTCCGTACTCTGTGGAGCAGTTGCAGCAACAGGGCATCACTCTCCCCACCCGTATATGTAGCTTCTCCTAACGGGCTGTATGCACACAGTCAGAGACTACACCTGTGTGACAACTTCCTCTGCTGCTCTTTTTACAATTCCCTCCTGGTTCTTGGGGACAGTGGTGCAGGAGAGGGGAGCACCTAGACCATCACTTGCCCGCCCTGCCTATTTCTCCTCCTCTTCAGAGCTGTGGTCTAAACCACTGAGCCTCTTGGGCTTGCCAATCGGAAGGTCGGCGGTTCGAATCCCCGTGACGGGGTGAGCTCCCGTTGCTCAGTCCCAGCTCCTGCCAACCTAGCAGTTCGAAAGCACGTCCAAGTGCAAGTAGATAAATAGGTACCACTGTGGTGGGAAGGTAAACAGCATTTCTGTGCGCTCTGGTTTCCATCATGGTGTTCCGTTGTGCCAGAAGCGGTTTAGTCCTGCTGGCCACATGACCCAGAAAGCTCTCTGTGGACAAACGCCGGCTCCCTCGGCCTGAAAGCGAGATGTGCGCCACAACCCCATAGTCACCTTTGACTGGACTTAACTGCCCAGGGGTCATTTAAAGGTAAAGGGACCCCTGACCATTAGGTCCAGTTGCGGATGACTCTGCGGTTGCGGTGATCATCTCGCTTTATTGGCCGAGGGAGCCGGTGTACAGCTTCCGGGTCATGTAGCCAGCATGACTAAGCTGCTTCTGGCAAACCAGAGCAGCGCACGGAAACGCTGTTTACCTTCCCGCCGGAGTGGTACCTGTTTATCTACTTGCACTTTGACCATCTGATTGGCAAGCCCTAGGCTCTGTGGTTTAACCCACAGCGCCACCCGTGTCCCCTCCAGGGGTCCTTTACCTTTACCGTTATCTTCTGACCCATCCTGGGCTCCACCCCTCTCAATCTAAAGGTGTCCCTGCCTCCTGGCTGCTACGGGTTCCTGCAAACCACTGCTCCGAGTCAGACTCCAGCCTCTTCCTTTCCGCCCACCCCGTCCCGTGCTCACTCGCCAGCATCCTGCCCTGCTTCTGAATGCTGGACAGCTGCTGCCGGTCCGTCTCCCTGCGCCCTGACTCTGTATAAGACAGCAGCCTACATTGCAGTCTCCTTGCTTTGGGCTGCTAGGGGTCTCGAGCGCTACCACCTCCTCTTCTTCTTGCAAGGTCAGCTCGGAGGGGGCACACATTCCCAGGGCTGGCCCCGATCCCTGGCGCACGGAGGGCGGCTCGGCGAGGAGGAGGAGGGAGCTCGGAGGAGCCAGCGAAGGAGCGGAACGAGCTGGCAACCTCGGCCGCCGTTTCCTATAAGCCGCAAATTATCATGCGTGCCTGTTCGCTCCCCGCTGGTAATAGGCTTTAATCACTGCAAAGTCATTTGATTTCCCTGTACCACAATTCGGCTTTAATTAATGGTCACTTACGGGAATGGGAAAGAGGGGGGAGGCTGTGTGCTTAGGGTGGGATCTCCTTTCTCTCCCCCCCCCCCGCCGCCTCCCTTTCCCCTTCCTCTCCTTTTTGACGTCGAGAAGATGAATTAACGTTTGGAGTGAGCTCAGGCGCAGACTGCCAGAAATATGGCTGGTTGGAATCTCTCCAGGGGGGGCGGAAGCAGCCTGTCCTAATAGCAGGCTTGGCGCATTTGGGGGTGAGGGGGCAAAGGATTCGTGGGCTGCCAGCAGAGCTCTGGTACATCTGCCCCAGGCACCGGGTGCGGGTAGGAGAGGAGAGCGCAGAACATGGTCCCCGCTTCAGGATTTAGCACCCGATGGGTTTAAAAGTCCCCTTTTGCAACCCTCGCCGCTGCTGTGTCTTCTTTTTTCTTTTAAGCATGGCTCTGTCTCTGTTTTTAAAAAGCAAATTTCTAGTCCTCAAAGCTAAGTTCCCTTTCGGAGGAAAAAGTGGCATGCTTTTGGTCAAAATACAGGAGTGCCTGGCGTGTTCTGGTCCATGGGATCACGAAGCCGCCTGAAAAACAGTTTCTATTCAAATGCGATTTTCGTTTTAAATGCAGTGTAAGGTAGTCTCTAGGGACGCGGGTGGCGCTGTGGGTTAAACCACAGAGCCTAGGATTTGCCGATCAGAAGGTCGGTGGTTCAAATCCCTGTGACGGGGTGAGCTCCGTTGCTCAGTCCCTGCTCCTGCCAACCTAGCAGTTTGAAAGCACGTCAAAGTGCAAGTAGATAAATAGGTACCACTCCGGCGGGAGTGCGCTTCCGTGCGCTGCTCTGGTTCGCCAGAAGCAGCTTAGTCATGCTGGCCACATGACCCGGAAGCTGTACGCCGGCTCCCTCGGCCAATAAAGCGAGATGAGCGCCGCAACCCCAGAGTTGGTCACTACTGGACCTAATGGTCAGGGGTCCCCTTACCTTTAAGGTAGTCTCTATGGGAGTATATTGTATTTAATTATGGGGTATCAGACTTTTTAGGGGGCTAACCAGGCTGGGATAGCTGGGATAGCAGGCTTGTTGGTTTCTGAATGTCTGGTGTAGATTTTCAATTTCGTTGTTCTGTATGGGACAATGACAATAAAGATTATCGTATCATATCATAAGAGTTGGACACGACTAAATGACTAAACAACAACTTGTGTTTTGTTTTCGTTTTAAGTAAGTTTCTCAATCTCACAGCTAAGTTCCATTTTTTTAAAAATGGCCCATCTAGTCCAGCATCCTCTTCCTCCAACCAGATGCCTGGAGGAGACTGGCAAGCAGGAACCGAGCACAAGAAACCGGTTTCCAAAAACTGCTATTCAGAAGCTGGAGGCAAAGCACAGCCATCTTGGCTAGTAGCCACGGATAGCCCCTCCTCCATGAATTTGCTGACTCCTCTTTCAAAGGTGTCACCCAGAGTGGCTGGATCAACCCAGCCAGATGGGTGGGGTGAAAATAATAAAATAAATAAAAATAAAGCCATCTAAGTTGGTGACCGTCACTGCCTACTGCAGCAGGGAGTTCCATAGTTCTAAGTATGCGCTGCATGGAAAAAAACCCATCTTTTA